ACTTGGTTAACACACAAAGAAAGACTTAAAGACCACACATTAAAGTTAAATAAATTTGTTAACATGCAAAGAAAGACTTAGTCTACACATTAAAATAAGATAAACTTGGTTAACACACAAAGAAAGACTTAAAGACCACACATTAAAGTTAAATAAATTTGTTAACACAAAGAAAGACTTAAAGACCACACATTAAAATTAGATAAAGTTGTTAACACAAAGAAAGACTTAAAGATCACACATTAAAGTTAAATAAATTTGTTAACATGCAAAGAAAGACTTAGTCTACACATTAAAATAAGATAAACTTGGTTAACACACAAAGAAAGACTTAGACCACACATTAAAATAAGATAAACTTAGTTAGTACAATTATCAAGTTAAGACTTAATTATCAAGTAAGACTTAAAGATCATACAAAAAAATTAAATAAATTTGTTAACACAAAGAAAGACTTAAAGACCACACATTAAAATTAAATAAATTTGCTAACATACACAAAGAAAGACTTAAAGACCACACATTAAAATTAGATGAAGTTGTTAACACAAAGAAAGACTTAAAGACCACACATTAAAATGAAATAAATTTGTTAACATGCAAAGAAAAACTTAAAGATCACACAATGTTGTAGTAGTAAGCCCAGCCTTTCTCGTTAGTATCTGTTCATGATATAGTTTTTGTAGCATATGATGAATATTTTGATATATAATTAATTCCCCAAATTAATGAGTAGAAAAAAGGTGTAGTTTTAATTTGAACTGTAATAATTTATAAGTACAGAACATAAATGGTTTGCAGTTCTATTATAACTTCTCAAGTAAAGGACAGTGCCTTGTGCTACTTAAAAAAATATATATTTTGCTCTGAAGTGGAGCCTATTTCAAGGATTTTTTTAGAACTTTCATTTTACCAAATGTGTTTTTTTTAAAGTTATTATACTGTAGTCCCATGATACAAACTAAAGCTGGGCTTTGCTGGCATGTCTACAGAATATTTTGTGCTCCCATTATGATTTGTTTCACATGAGATGATAGGCTCCAGAAACCTGCTGAGCAGTGTTTTAGTCAAGAATCCAAGGTGATAGAAGCTCTGTTAAAATATGATATTTCTCCTAGCCAAACTTGAATTTTAACTTTACAAGGAAAACCCTTTTCAAAACTGCACATTGAGTAACCTAGAACTGCATTAACCTACTAAAGCCACTGATGCCATTAAACAGTTAAAAACTTGTGCATTAACTCGTGTTCTCTATTACATATGCTATAGAGCTGGGCACATACAAGCAAACAAAAAGTTAATGGTGAGTACTGCCAGCCAGTTGCCTTCCCTCTAGTCAGCAGCTCAAAATTATCAACAATGACAGATAGCCTTAGTAGCTTTGCCATAACAAAGTTAGGGTTAGCAAGTTTGGTGGTAATGGGAATTGAACTCGAGGCCCTCAAATCATGAATTACCAATGTTGTACAAACTTGAAGTAAAATAAGTAACTATAGGGCTAAAATTGGACAAAACACAAATATCCCATCATGTAGCTCAAACAAACATAATAGCAATAATCTGATTACTTGGATAGTTGGAATAATCGAAAATAGTAATAATTGAAAACCCTAATTTTGATTAGTCAGTTATCTGTGTGACAATCAATATAATAGGAATTTTGATTAATTGATTAATTTTAACTCTTGTTAAAAGTTACCATTAAGAACAAACTAACAATGCAAATATAACTCTAATCAGTCCATTCATCAAGCTGAACAGCATCGGTGTGAAAACAGCACCAAGAGTGTCCCGTGTACATCGAAAGAGTTATTTTTTAATAGCTTACACCGTCACAGATTACAAGTATCCAAGTGTTGTTTGTTGTTTAAATGACAGCATTGAAAAAAAATACAGTTGAACATAATTACATTATCACAGTATAGTAACAATAAAACATCAACATTCTACGAGGGAATCAACAATGTTAAATAATAATATGAAATTATGTTTAAATGCTTTGATGGGGTGGATGTGGCCAAAGGTTTGGCATGAACCAGACTGTGAGTCTGAGGATTCATGGTTTGTAGCTTGTTGCTATAGGTGCACTGTAAGAGTGTTTATCTAATCCCACTATTTCATCAAACAAGAGAAACTTGGTGATTGGTAATGAGGGCTGTTTACTAGTTGTGTAGCTTTGTGAGAAGTTCTGAAGCAAAGTTTATGTGTTAAATCCTAAATACAAATATGTATATATAGACAGTGTGTAAAGTATGTACAGTTTGAAAATCTTTTTAGAAACTATATTTGCATGGAGACTCTATAAACATATTTGCAAACTTGATGTTCTAAAAACTATGAATTTATACACGTTTTAGCTATGATGAGGTTTTTTGGTATTTTTGTTAACTCATGATTTCAACCTGCTTTACAAGATAGAAGTATTCCATGTCTCTTCTAATAGTTTAATATATAAATATATTTTTTTTTTCAAACATAGGAGGTACTATGATAGTAACACCAGCAGCTACCCCTCAGACACCTGTGACAGGAACTGCAACATTAGACATAAATGAACAGCGCCACTGGTGGCAATTAGAAGAGGTACAATGTTCTTTTTTGTATGAAGATTCTAAATCCTGGTTTGACAGGGAAAATGTTTTAAATCCAATTTCAGGAAAGGGTAAAAAAATTTTGTTTTTAAAAACAGTTTCCTACATTTCTCCCTCTCTCTCGTTTCAGACCACACATACAGATAATTTCACTACCTTTGACACAATTAATTTTAAAGTTTTGGTTTTATTGAAACAGATGATAAAGAACCTATTGCGGCAAGTACAAGAACTCCAAAAACAAGTTGAAGCAGTTAAGGTACAAAGTGTTTCAGCTAGAGAAGCAGCCGTACATCAAGTGAAAACACAACTTGAAAAGGAGAAAAAAGAGGTGGGAAAACTATTAGATATCTTTTTCCTTTTTTTAATGTAGGTCCATGCTTGAATTTTAGGGGTCAAAAGTCAAACAAGCAGTCCTCAAAATTAGTGATGGCATGTGCCTGAGCCATAGCATTATATGATAAACATCAAGTATGACAGCACAGAATATGCTGTCATAAAGAAGAACAAAAACTTCAAAAATCTTTTTCCCTTCAATTTTTTATTTATTTTCTATGAATAGCGTAAGTGATTAAGATTTTGTAGAGAAATAAAAGTGTTGATAAATAACTAGAACATTTAATGATACCTTGTGTAATTAGAGATGTTAGTTGTAAGTGAATTTAGCGGATTGCCCTAACATCTGATGCACCTGATTTTGCCACTAACACATATGTTGCTTGAGGAAAGTCCATGAAAGCATATGGTTAGGTAACATTACAAGTGTAACTTCTACTTCCAAACTCTAAATGTGCGTTTGTAATTATTTCACACAGGCTGCTGAAAATATTGATAATTCTCTGTTTAATAGTTTTTACAGTATATTAGTTTAATTAATATAACATTTATTTTAATCAAAATGTAATTCAAACACAGAACTCACATACACACACATATTATTAAATGTTGTTTCTGTGGTGTTTTGACTCTGTTTTACTTCACCATATAGTAACCTAAATTAAATTAGGTATGAGAATAATGTTATGACATTTCATGGAATTCAATATTATACAGTGGACCAACTGTTTAGTGATTGAATGCATATGTGTTAAAGATTTCTTTTCTTTATCACCAGAAGTGAAATTGAGGAGATTCTATGATGTAGAGGCCTAATGTTTTCTTTGATTGGTTGTACAAGGCTAATGCATTACTTGATTGGCCGTACCCTCTGCTGTTGACTGTAGTTTCGCCTATTCAAGGCTCATCAGCACAGCTTGGGTCACCAAACCAAAGAAATACCAATAGGTTTCTTATAATGGTGAAGTGTATATAATATCTATGGGGTTTTGAGTCTATTCTACTTCACCGTATGGTAACATAAATTAATTCATCAAATTCATTACTCAATATTATACAGCAGAGCAACTGTTTAATGATTGTATATATATATGTTAAAGATTTATTTTCTTCTTCACCAGAGGAGACATTGAAAAGAGAATCTGTGAATTAGAGGCCTAATGTATTATTTGATTGGCCATACCTCCTGCTGTGGAATACATTAGGCCTCCATGTCACAGATTCTCTTTTCAATTTCACCTCTAGTAGAAGAGTAAAGAAATCCTTAACATGTATATATATATGTAATGATTATGAAAATTGGGCTCAGTTGTTCTGGCAATGAAATGATTCTGGTTTGTTAAAAGTAATATATCTGATGCCAGAAGACAAGAAAGATGATAAACTTTAGTATCAAATTATTTTACTTAGCTTAAGGTACATTTTGCCCACACTTACAGAATGCAGTAAATAAACACAAAATTTTGCCCTCACATTCTCATTCACAGACTTTTATCCTTACATGAGACAGTCTTTCATTAATTACCTATCTTCAATTAATTTCAACACCTGTGGATGAGACTAACCCGTATACACTTTCTGTGGCAGTTATTTCATATGAGACAAAGTAGGAAGTAGAGGAGAGTGTGTAGAAAAGGAGATATCTACATCAAGTAATAAAACGTGTACAAACAACCTCTAATATATGTACTATAACTACAATGAAATAGACATGGGTTCAAGGTATAACAAGAAGCAAACATCGGAAAACTAATCCACTAAACCAGAGGCAGGAAGGGAGAACTCTTATTATGACGCATCCAAATCAAGGTATTTAACTGAAAGAGAAAGCAGAACCTTGAAAGTGGGTTATATGCACACTGAAACTCACATATAAACAAGGACTCAAAATTTAAAGACAGAGAAATTGAACAAAGTGTTTCCTTGTAATTCCATACACTTATATATATATAGATACACACACACACAAAACAAACAGGAAAACTGGAAGAAGATGACAATAGAGTAATTCAAAAGTACTATTTATAAAAATGGACTGCAGAAATGCAAGGAAGAAATATGGCAGATATAAGAACTGAAGAAAGAATTGTTTTCAGAAATTCTGCCACATCCTGTTCACATTCTCTTAGATGCTACAGTGTGTTTACCAGCTAGTGAAAAGGTAGGAGATGGTACCTCATTCAAAGTCTAGCGATTAGTTTGACTTAAAATTTGTTATGTTAATTATATTTTTGTTTAATCAACTAAAAGAACAAACTTATAAATAGCATTTTATAAATACACTTCCAAAGTAATTATTTGGTATAACATGTGACCCCCATGAGATCAGCTGGCTTAATGCTGTTAATTTGACTGCATACGATGTATAGTATTCTGATTCAGGATTTTTTTCCCATTCAAGTTGATCCTCAGTACTAAATACAACATAATTAACTGGTATATTTTTGTATTATAACATTTTCAAAAGTAAACAGAAAAGCATTTTTTTACATCTTACATAGAAAAAGACATTAATAGTTTTCATTATATAAACTCTTTATATTCACCATTCATATTAATTTTTTTGTATTTAGGCCCTAAGTACTGCCAGGATAGAAGCCCAAATGAATCTTTCTCGAGCTATTTTGGAAGCACGTATGGAAAAAGAGATAGCTGTCCAGCAAGCTGTTCAACAAGCTAGAGTAGAGATTCTTGAAAATCAAGATAACAATTCAACAGAAAAAACAGATACGTTTAAAGTAAGAAATAGACTTAGATAATAATATATTATAAAAAAGTAGATAGATAAATAAATAATAAATTAAAAATAGAATAAAACACTTTGTTTTGTTTTTTGCCTTTCACAAATTGCTTCTGTTTCAGGTTGTTATAAGGGAAAGTTTTACTAATGGAAGAAAAAAAAAGATAATGAAAGAGTCAGTTTTGGCTCTAGGTCTCTGAGCTGTTTGTAGTTGCTAGAAAACATTAAATTAGTTGGGAGGTTTTTAAGGAATTTAACCAAACGATATACAAGCATAACATTTGTGACAAACTCCATTAATCTATTCAACCTGCAGGTACATAAAAAAAAATTTAAATGTACATGCATGAACTTTTTGTGTTATTGGTTACAAAAGGACGTGTCAGCTATGCTATTTTATTGTTCATAGAAAAAGTAAAAAAATGAATAATTTCTTCTTGTTTTACTTCTAATACAAGATAATGTTGAACACAGGGCTTAAAGGGTTAATAGAAACTTGATATTTATGCTTTATTGTTTGTTTGTTAGTATTTTATAGCAATTTTAAGGCTTAGCATACTATTTAAAATTTTATTCAGGGGTCAAAGGCTCAGAAAAAGTCCTGTGGGATTGTTTGTTTGAAAGAATACACCTACCTAAAAATGTTTTGGGTAAATCCCAGTTTCAGAAAAAACATGTTACCATCTTTGAATCCTTGTCTGATTATGGCAACCAAACATCAGTTATAAAGTTGGCCCAGAAATGAAATAACTTAGGATGTACAAGCGATTAAAAACTTCATTTAAAAATCCACAGTTATGTTATTTAGTGTTAGCTATCTATTAGATACATGATCATGAACCATGCAAGATCAAGCAATAAGATTTGCCATTTTCCCAACTTCCTGTATGAAAACACAACGAAAAGAAAAATCAGTAATACGAACATATTAAAAAATGTATAATTTAAATGAAGACTACATGTTGTTCAGAATTGGAGAGTGCTGTTTGATGTGGAGGGTTTCTTTGATCAATAATTCC